GGGGTTGGGGTCTTTTAGGAGAATGGTCACAGGAATCATGGAAAGCATAAAAATCTTAGGGGAAGGAAGGGGGGGTGGGGGGTCGCCTCAAGGGTTGGAGAGAGGGGAAAAGGAGGTTTTGTGGGTAAGGGGCTTGGACTTCCAGCAAGCGTGCGGAGCGTGTTAGATAGGAGTGAATGGAGACGAATGGTACTTGGGACCTGACGATCTGTTGGAGTGTGAGCAGGGTAATATTTAGTGAAGGGATTCAGGGAAACCGGTTATTTTCATATAGTCGGACTTGAGTCCTGGAAATGGGAAGTACAATGCCTGCACTTTAAAGGAGGGGTTTGGGATATTGGCAGTTTTAATGAAGATAACTTCAGGAAATATAACGTAGCAGGGTAAAATACGTACCTCTGGCTAAGAGAGAGAGGATAAAGAGGAATGCCAGGGAAGGCAGCAACAGTATTAAAAGAAAACCAAATTAAAGTTACCTCAGATTAGGCTAACAACAAGGTCCTATGTCCCAAAATATTGACAAGGCAGGAACTGATAATAAATGAGCTAGCTAGAAAAAATGCAAATTAACCAGTTATATAGAAAAAAAAAAAAAAGGCATGGGAAAAGGTGCCAGAATATAGAAAATCAGGACATGTTTAATAAAAAAAAAATCAGTACAGTATTTTATTTTTCTCTCAGTTGTTTGTGGAGCAAATTCATCCCCTTTTTTTGTGTGGTTAACTAGTTTGCTCACTCTCATATCCTGTCTCTTTCTTTTATATTTACACAAAGGTTAGGTTAAGAGCTCTGTCTGTTTCTCTCCCTCTGTATGTCTCTCCCTGTGTCTGCATGCCCCCTCCTCCTCCTCTCACACTGAACAAGAAAGACAATTAAGGACTGAACTACCACCTGCTGTGCTCCACCACTCGCTACCTAAAACTCGCGTATTCCTGTACTAACCCATATCAACAAAGTTTTAAATGTATTATACTTACTGATAAACATTAACCCTTTGACTGTCGCGGCCGTATATATACGTTTGCGAGGTACCGTGTTTGACGTATATTTTATTTTTTTTTTTTATTATCACACCGGCCGATTCCCACCAAGGCAGGGTGGCCCGAAAAAGAAAAACTTTCACCATCATTCACTCCATCACTGTCTTGCCAGAAGGGTGCTTTACACTACAGTTTTTAAACTGCAACATTAACACCCCTCCTTCAGAGTGCAGGCACTGTACTTCCCATCTCCAGGACTCAAGTCCGGCCTGCCGGTTTCCCTGAATCCCTTCATAAATGTTACTTTGCTCACACTCCAACAGCACGTCAAGTATTAAAAACCATTTGTCTCCATTCACTCCTATCAAAACCGCTCACGGGATGCCTGCTGGAAGTCCAAGCCCCTCGCAACACAAAACCTCCTTTACCCCCTCCCTCCAACCCTTCCTAGGCCGACCCCTACCCCGCCTTCCCTTTCCCCTACAGACTGATACACTCTTGAAGTCATTCTGTTTCGCTCCATTCTCTCTACATGTCCGAACCACCTCAACAACCTTCCTCCCCTCTGACAACAGTTTTGGTAATCCGCACTCCTCAAAATTCCAAACTACGAATTCTCGCATATATCAAACCACACATTTCCCTCAGACATGAATCTCCACTGCCTCAGCCTTCTCCTCGCTGCAACATTATCACCCACGCTTTACACCCTTTTAAAGGGGTTTGGTAAAACTATACTCTCATACACCCCCTCTTTGCCCCCAAAGGGGACAAAGTTTGACGTATTATATTTATAAATTCTAGCGGCTTCAAATCAGGCAGGGAAATTTTAAGGCCCCATGTGGGAAAAGGGTCCGTGTGTCAGTGTGCACCCAAAAAAAAATCCTGGAGCACGCAGTGCATAAAGAGAAAAAAAAAAATCCGACCGTTTTTTTTAATTAAAATGCCGACTTTGTGGTCTTTTTTCGTATAGTATTTGTGGTTGTATTCTCGTTTTCTTGGTCTCGTTTTGATAGAATGGAAACTAAATTATGAAATGGAGGTGATTTTGTTAATTTTACTATAAAAAGAACCGGGAAAAATGGAGCACAAAGTACGGGAAAATTTGTTTGATTTTTGCCGATGTTAAAAAGTGAACAAATGAGTCATTGTCCAATAAATGTCCAAATAGCCATTCTAACGCAGCATAAATGGGTTGATGTAATTTTTACAATTATTACAGTATTGCAGTAGTCTGCATAACAGTAAATCTTCTATTTTTTGTTTAAAATAAAATTTCAAAATAAAAAGCAAGAGAAATCACAGGGATCTGGAGACAGACTGGATGACAAAGAAAATGTTTTTTAGACCCAGGAATGTCTGCTTGTTCATTCTGGACCTTATTTTGAAATTGTCCTATTTTTTAATTTTCGTGAAATTGGACAAATTGAAAAATTTCTGACCATGTTATGGGTAGTTGAAATCGGTAAATGGGCATTTTCCCTTGTACCCCAATCGATAGAAAAAATAAAATTTCTGAAGAAATAGTTATGAGTTTTGGTTGACTAAAAATGGAATTAGCCGAAAATAGGGCTCAAAGTGGGCGAAATTGCCGATTTTAAATATCACCGAAGTCGCTAACTTCGCGAGAGCGTAATTCCGTCAGTTTTCCATCAAATTTCGTTTTTTTGGTGTCTTTACAATCGGGAAAAGATTCTCTATCATTTCATAAGAAAAAATAATTTTTTTTTTTTTCGAATATTTTGCGACACCAGAAGCAACTTCAGGATTTGGCCCTTCGACAGTCAAAGGGTTAAATATCAAGCTCAATATTTTTCTATCAAACTAATTTTATGAGTTTAATGGTATAATTATCAACTCTGTAACCCACATAATGACTGGCTTCTCTAATAGTACCAAGTCCGAGTTAGGCATATGTCAAGTGTTAATGATGTTAGTATAAAGAATAAGGGAGACTAACAGAAATGGGTAACAGAAGAGGCAAGCAGAAGGGAAGGAGCAAAAGCAAGGGAGTAAGAGAGAGGGAAGGAAGGAGTAAAAGGGAAAGACAAAGCATGAGGGAGGGAGGGAGGGAGGGAAGGAGGAAGGAAGGAGAATCTCTTATCTTTTCAAAAAACACTTTGCATTAAAGTCTGTCTAGTTGAATTAAAAATCGATAGGCTATGTCCCAACTATTTTTCAGCTATAAAGAATATTTTTACTTACCATACAAAATACAGAGGTTGCTAGGGCTGGGACCATAGAGGAAGAGGCTGGAGTATGACTTTGCTGACCCAGCAGTTGTGCTGCTTCTGTGGATGCACCCGCAGCCAACACTTCATCAGGTGGCACCGAACATAAAAACTCTGCTTGAGGAAATGCTTCTCCTACGAGTTGTTGCAAACGAGGTATTTTGGCTGAACCACCAGTCAGAACAACCTGGTAATAAACATCACATGCTCGTGAATTTTTAACTAAACGTGTATTGATCTTAACTTACAACCAAATTGATGCTGCACAGTTATACAGTAAATGGGAAGCTACATAAATTGCTTTTGCCACTCCCATATAAGCATGGCCTGAGTAGGTACAGCATCATCTGTAAGCGTTTTTAAACAGTAAGACAATTCAGTAGTATACTACATATCCACTGATCCTCCATGATGAGCCAAGTTAATGCTCACTTAACTGATTGTGAATAAGACTTGTATCCTTAATTATATGAAGTCATTTATAATTCTCCAGGCCTCTTTAATTTCATAAATCTCTATAAATGACTGCAAAAGTATCAACACATTCATGTTTCCTTAAGCAAAAAATGTAATATACTATCATATATACTGTATCACTGTAATTATTATTTATGTAACTGATAGTGTAAAACATTTCCACCCTTTACCTCTTTGCAACTGTTAACATGGTCAGAGTATAATAAATCAATAAATATCCTAGGAAGTAAGTTGCTTGGCAGTAACCACCCAGGGAGGTACTACCATCCTGCCAAGTGAATGTAAAACGAAAGCCTGTAATTGTTTTACAAGATGGTAGGATTGCTGCAAGATTTCAGGTACGAACATCTTGCTACTTCTACTTACACTTAGGTCACACTACACATACATATACAAGCATATATATACACAACCCTCTGGGTTTTCTATTTTCTTTCTAGCTCTTGTTCTTGTTTATTTTTTCTTATCTTCACGGGGAAGTGGAACAATTCTTCCTCTGTAAGGCGTGTGTGTTGTAAGAGGCGACTAAAATGCCAGGGGCAAGGGGCTAGTAACCCCCTTCTCTTATATAAATTACTAAATTTAAAAAGAGAAACTTTTGTTGTTCTTTTTGGACCACCCTGCCTTGGTGGGATACAGCCAGTTTGTTGAAAAAAAAAATATATACTGTATCACTAATTATTATTATTAATGTAACTGATAGTGTAAAACATTTCCACCCTTTACCTCTCTGCAACTGTAAACATGGTCAGAGTATAATAAATAAATAAATAATCCTAGGAAGTAGGTTGCTAGGCAGTAACCACCCAGGGAGGTACTACCGTCCTGCCAAGTGAATGTAAAATGAAAGCCTGTAATTGCTTTACAAGATGGTAGGATTGCTGCAAGATTTCAGGTACATACACCTTGCTACTTCTACTCACACTTAGGTCACACTACACTTGCATGTACAAGCATATATATACACACACCCCTCTGGGTTTTCTATATTTTTACTAGTTCTTGTTTATTTCTGCCTTTCTCCATGGGAAGTGGAATAGAATTCTTCCTTCGTAAGCCATGCATGTCGTAAAAGGTGACTAAAATGCCAGGAGCAAGGGACTAGTAACCCCTTCTGTATACATTACTAACTTTAAAAGGAGAAACTCCTGCTTTTTCTTTTGGGCCACCCTACCTCTGTGGGATACGGCTGGTTTATTGAAAGAAGACAATGTATTAAGATATGATAATTTTTGCATATTGATGCTCGACTGTCAGTGGTTCCAATATGTTTTCACAGAAATATTTATTTACCTGTAATATAACGTATAAATATTTTTTTTTGTATTTTTCTAAGTGCTATTATTCATTGTAATAATTAATGCCAGAGTAAACAAGGTGAAGTGATTAATTTGAGCCACTGTTAAAGAGTTTTAAAAAGAACTTGTAAGTAGGGTATGACATATGTTCAAAAGCTTGGAGGGAACACGGGGGCCAAGGCATGGGTATAGGGCTCATTTCATGTCTCTGCTAGCTTGAGAAACCTTTTTCAACTATTCATATCAATAATCTGCTGCTAACAAGCATGTTCATAACCTGTGTTATTGTGGGTATAAGTAGAGAAGCCCAAGTATTAAATGCATGTTTTTAGTGAGATAGCCACTGGGGGAAACAGCCTCCAGTTCGCACTGTTAGGGAAGGGCTATTAAATGTGTGCCTTGTACCTTGCCTTAACATAGTACAAGTAATACTTGTATATTGTATGATTAGTCAACTGTCAGATTAGTGATAATTTAAGGTGTAAAATGATCCATTTATATATGGCCATGTGACTACCCTATACCACTCTAGCTTCTAGCCATCTTTATACTGCCCTATTTTAACCTTAGTATTTTTAAACCCGTTTTCCTTTCAGCACTTTCCTACATTTTCTGAGATGTGGAGTAAAAGTTTCTCTGGTTATCTTTAACCTGTAATCTACCCTAATATGCTCTGTTTCTGACCTATAACTTCTCTAACCTATCATTCATATTAATATCTGCTTAGTTCAACCAAACCAGGCACACTGAGGAAATGCCATAGAGATACTAGAGGCCTTGGTCCTAGAGGATCAGACCAGGCTTGTAGTCTAGAAATCTGAAAATCTCCATGTTAGCCTGAAGGAGGAATGTATTGGCCAAGTGGGTCAAGGAAATTCTGCGAAAGCCATAATTTTTACCTGACTATAATCATAAATTAATAGGTGTCATGCTGATTTAAGAGTTAAGACTGTATTTTACATTTCTGAATAACTTAAATCTTCTCAGTATTAAGGCTTGAAATTTTTTTCTACTGGTTTCCAACTGTAGATTTCCTTGTAATGTATAGGTGTTTATTAAATTGTAAAGTTGTATTATCTGGGTATGATTCATCAGCCCCTTGAGCTATGTATATAAGGTCCATTTATGAAAATTAAACTGGGTTATATGTGTAGTAACCATATTTTTTGCTTTTGGAGAGTCAAGCCTCTGATAAGGTGCTCAATTTTCAGGTCAAGCTACCCTAAGAGCCAGTACTTATCGGAACTAATACTTTGTCTTTACTATCCTGTATTATTTCCCACTGGGCTCTTTCTGCTCCAACCCAAATTAAGTATCTCTCTTCTGCTGTGACTAGCTACTTTTGCCTCTTCTTCTACTTAAAGAGCAGGTGGCGGCAGCATATATTCTTAACTGAGAGAATTAAACCTAATCTTTTTCTTCTCTCAAATTTTATTTATTTCCCTTTGTTAGCCACAGAAGTGATGAAGGTAAACGTGTAAGTGGTGCACTGAGGTATCTGTGAAGACAAAAAAAAAAAAATGTTATCCATGGAGGCAAAGAAGGGAATGTACTAGAGTATAGTGGTATCAACACTCTTGTATGGGTGTGAAGCTTGGGTTGTAAATGCCGCAGCAAGGAGGAGGCCGGAGGCAGTGGAGATGTCATGTCTAAGAGCAATGTGGTGCAAATATTATGCAAAGAATTCATAGAGTGGAAATTAGGAGGAGGGGTGGAATTATTAAATGTATTATTCAGAGGGCTGAACAGCTGCTGAAATGGTTTGGTTATACAGAGAGGATGGAGCAAAATAGGATGACTTGAAGGGTGTATAAATCTGTAGTGGAGTGGAGGGGTCATCCTAGGAAAGAATGGAAGGAGGGGGGGGGGGGGCAAGAGGTTTTGTGTGCAAGGAGCTTGGACATGCAGCAGGCATGTTAGATAGGAGTGAATGGAGACAAATGGCTTGTGGGACCTGACGAGCTGTTGGAGTGTGAGCAGGGTAACATTTTGTGAAGGGATTCAGGGAAACTGGTTAGCCAGACTGGAGTCCTGAAGGTGGGAAATACAATGCCTGTACTTTAAAGGAGAGGTTTGGAATATTGGCTGTTTGGAGTGACATCTAGACTGTCATATCTGGGCACCTCTGCAAAGACAGTGATATTGTGTAAATGATCACGAAAGTGTTGCTTTCTTTATGGGGCATGCTCCTTTGGTGGGATATGGCCGGTCTGTTGAAAGAAGATACATACATATGCGTGCAGAGCTGGCAAAGGTAATGAAAGGTTATCTGAAGCTTCACCTCAAATTTTGTTTAGCTAATTGCTAAATTCTGATTCATACTGGTCTTCTAAAATTTTGCTCATTTTATTTCATTTTATCAAATACAAAATGGGAATTGACACAGTTACCTTTTGCTGATGATACTGTGCTTATGGGAGATTCTAAAGAAAAATTGCAAAGGTTAGTAGACGAGTTTGGGAGTGTGTGTAAAGGTAGAAAGTTGAAAGTGAATATAGAAAAGAGTAAGGTGATGAGGGTATCAAATGATTTAGATAAAGAAAAATTGTATATCAAATTGGGGAGGAGGAGTATGGAAGAAGTGAATGTTTTCAGATATTTGGGAGTTGACGTGTCAGTGGATGGATTTATGAAGGATGAGGTTAATCATAGAAATGATGAAGGAAAAAAGGCGAGTGGTGCATTGAAGTATATGTGGAGACAAAAAATGTTATCTATGGAGGCAAAGAAGGGAATGTATGAAAGTATAGTAGAACCAACACTTATACGGGTGTGAAGCTTGGGTTGTAAATGCTGTAGTGAGGTGGTGGCTGACTAAGGGCAATGTGTGGTGTGAATATTATGCAGAAAATTTGGTGGAGTTAATAAAAGTATTAGTCAGAGGGCTGAAAAGGGGTTGTTGAGATGGTTTGGGCATTTAGAGAGAATGGATCAAAGTAGAATGACATGGAGAGCGTATAAATCTGTAGGGGAAGGAAGGCGGGGTAGGGGTTGTTCTCGAAAAGGTTGGAGGGAGGGGGTAAAGGAGGTTTTGTGGACGAGGGGCTTGGACTTCCAGCAAGCATGCGTGAGCATGTTAGATAGGAGTGAATGGAGACAAATGGCACTTGGGACATGATGAGCTGTTGGAGTGTGAGCAGGGTAATATTTAGTGAAGGGATTCAGGGAAACCAGTTATTTTTATATAGCCGGACTTGAGTCCTGGAAATGGGAAGTACAATGCCTGCACTTTAAAGAAGGAGTTTGGGATATTGGCAGTTTGGAAGGCTATGTTGTGTATCTTTATACGTATATGCTCCTAAACTGTTGTATTCTGAGCACCTCTGCAAAAACAGTGATTATGTGTGAGTGAGGTGAAAGTGTTGAATGATGATGAAAGTATTTTCTTTTTGGGGATTTTCTTTCTTTTTTGGGTCACCCTGCCTCGGTGGGAGATGGCCGACTTGTTAAAAGAAAAAAAAAAAAAAAGGGATTAACTTTCCCCACACAATTCTACTGTTTCAAGTAAAAATGAATAAAATGTAAGGTAGAGTAAGCAGTGTTATTTTTAACTTACTTTAGATTATTAAAGAAAAATTGTGTTCTTTGTATTTGTGTTAAATTAGATTAAATGTTGATTTTTGGGAATGTAACCCACGCTTTAATTGAAAGTCTACTGTACATAAATCATGATATAACTGAATATAGTCTTACTTTTTGTATCTGATTCATGGCAAGACCAGACCTATGAACAGCCTCCTTAGCTGGTTGTAGAAAAGCTGCAAGTGTTGCACTCACTATACCATCAAATCTTGCTCGTGACAATGTTGTTGAAAAATCTACTCCTTCCCACAGTGACTCGACATAAACCTGCAAGCACATAAGGTTAATAAATAAAATCTTGAAGTTCACTGCATCAGTAACAACACATCGACTATTTTATCTACTGTATTATTAATATTACATTTTTCAAATACAAAAATTAGTCTCATAAAAATCATTATTATATTCATCACAAGATAATTTTAACTATATTTTAAAAATCACACTTACTATGCCACTTCTTTTTACAATTCTGTATGAATAATTTACTACTGACTTCATATTAGTTTCAAGATTTTATATTATTATAACTCCTGTTGCTATAACCATCAGTTCTTAAAAACAGTTTAGTCTTTCTGAACCACTATCAAGACAAGGGGCCCAATCATTACAAATACTCTCCCTTTGTAAACACCTCTTGCTGGATAATTAATAATTTAGCAAGCATTTATGAATAAATTAAGCAAATGCATTTTCAAATCTTATCTTTGTTTTAGGTTTTGCTCAACTGTTTTGCTTACATAATATACATTTTTATGCAAGTAAAGGATTTGCTGTATATAAAGTTCCAATGAAAAACTATTTCTCAGCAAGGCTACAGTGAACAAGTTTATATTGCAATACTTCCTTTAGTTTAAGTGGCACTTTTATTGATAATCTTTGGCTAACCAGATGTTATGATATAAATGTTAAATGAAACAAACCTGAGCTGTTCCCATGGTGGAGAGAACATGTTTACAATTTTCTGCAGCATTATACAGTTTCCTTCTTGATCGCCTATTCTCTAAAGGATCACCTTTATATTTTCTGAGGATTATGAAGCATAAAAAAATGGTTAAAACGTTTCTAGTTTAAGACAACTCTCACGCTATGTCCATTATTGTATATAATGAATATTATATATCACTGCTACATGATTAATAATATATTTTATACATTATAATGAAAAAATATTATTTAAAAATATTATACTAAAATCTCACAAGCAGTACTAAACATACTAAATAAAAAATCTACTTGTGATTTTTTTTTAATTAGCATACTTGTAAAATTCTGTAGCAAAATGTTGAACAAGTACATCAGTTAATGCATCCCCTGCCACAGCTGATGAAGTGATAGACTCTTTCAGTGTCAGCATTCCACCTGCTACTTCAACGACTGAGCCAACAACAGTTGTGCCTCCACAATGTAGTACTACCACTTGTCTGTTGCAATACAAATTTCTTTGTCATTACAATTTGCAAAAGTTTAGATGAACAGCAAAAATACAAAACATAGCTAATGTTTGCTTTTAAGTACTGAAATACAGCACAGTACTGTACTTAAATGAGCATCTTTTACAAGGCCTGCAATAATCCACCTGAAAAATTTATTCTTGATAATTTCACAATAATATGAAAGTACATGGTAGAAAACCAATATTAAATTCTTGAGCCAGTATCATTGCACCACATCTTGTTCTCTTCAGCTGGAAGGAGAGGAAGAGAGAAGTGTTTCTGAGGGTAAGGGTGTACCAAAGCGTAGGAATTGATGTGCATCAACTAATTTTAGCAATATCTATTAATGGGAATCAGCTAACTTTGAAGGTATCAGGCTAAAACTTGAGTACTGATATTGGCAAAATTTTTTGGTATAATCCTATCCCTATTTGAAGCAGTGAAACCTATCCTTCAACTGAGACTTAACTGCCATGAGTGATCTGATTCCTGTTTTGTAGCAATATAACTGGACAGGGAGATTCGGAAGAGAAGTGCAGAGGTTGGTGGAGGAGTTTGGTAGAGAATGTAAAAGAAAATGAAAAACGAATATAGGAAAGAGTAAGGTGATGAGGATAGCAAAAAAAATTAGGTAACAAAAGACTGGATATCAGATTGGAGGGAGACAGTATGGAGGAGGTGAATGTATTCAGATATTTAGGAGTGGATATATCAGCAGATGAGTCTATGAAAGATGAGGTGAATCATAGAACTGGTGAAGGGAAAAAGGCGAGTGGTGTACTTAGGAGTCTGTGGAAACAAAGAACTTCGTCCATGGAAGCAAAGAAGGGAATGTATGAGAGTATAGTTTTACTAATGCTCTTATATGGGTGTTAGTTAGTTAAACATTTTGTTCTAGGCACATGGTGTGAAGCATGGGTGGTGAATGTTGCAACGAGAAGGCTGGAGGCAGTGGAGATGTCATGTCTGAGGGCAATGTGTGGCATGAATATAATGCAGAGAACTCGTAGTTTGGAAATTTGGAGGAGGTGCGGGATTACTAAAACTATTATCCAGAGGGCTGAGGAGGGGTTGATGAGGTGGTTCGGAGATGTAGATGGGTGAATAAGTGCCGCTGATTGCTACAAGATAATTTTTTTTTTTACCCCTTTAGTATCCCACTTTACAAGAATGCCCTGTTCATGACTACTCTACAGACTTCAACATAATCAGACCATCATCCAGAAGTATTAGTCTATTTTTTCAACCTCCACATTCCAAGACATATGTAGCTGGGCAACAGAGGAATCACACCAAGGGGCAAAGTCACGAGACAAGATGCTTTTAGTGATGAAAAGATAGAACTTACTAGTCTCAGTCGCAAACACCTCATTATGAATCTTAGGTAATTAATTAACATGGTGCAGATGCATCCACCTTGTCCAAAGCTTCTCTCACCATCACACCAACCTGGTCCAATCTGTTAACACGTTATGTAGACCAACGTCTGCCACGAGAGGAGGTACAAGTACCTCCTCGTCTTCTGGGACCAGCTGTCCTCAGGCCTAGCCCCATTCCCCACCCCCATGGGCCTCAGAGGGAGAAGCTAGGTACCTTGGGCTGTCACAAACCCCGCCCACATTGGGCTCAAAGTGTGTGGCAGCTGCTTAGCAGCAGACGATGTCAAGAGGTGCAAAAGCAGCAAGCATTACAGGATCCTTTTGGAGCCACACCCCAGCTTTGGGCCAAAGCCCGAGTTCTGGGGAAGCTCAAGAATGCCTCTTACAGCAAGTGTTGCTGCTGCTACTTCACTTATCCATTGCGCTCTCTTATTGCAGACATTTTGCCATCCAGTGGCTTTATCAATACAAATTTAAGGACATAATTGAAAGAGTAGAACTATATACAAAAGAAGAGGTAATCAGTCCCTCAGCCTTGGAGCTGAAGAGTATCCTAGTCGTGAAGAGTCTGAAGCACAGGCATGAAGACTGGCACTTATATAAAGTACTGTTATACATACTACATGTACATCACCTATGATACTGCTGCCGGCAGCCAGCTGCCCTCAAGCCCACACAGCCAGCACAACCCAACTGATCGGGCACTTTCAGCTTGTATTGGCCAAATTTTCACTTGAAAGCTCCTACCTTTGTTCTGCCAATATTTTTTATAGATGCTAGAATAGCACCACTGCTAGTTGAGTGGAATAGGGTAGTTGATGAGTGGAACAGTCTGCCTAGTAGGGTTATTGAAGCTAAAACCTTGGATAGTTTCAAATTTAGATTGGATGAACACACGAGCAAGATGGGTTGGATTCGAGTTAGACGTGCACGTAAGTAAATAGATTTATCAAAGCTTATTGCTTGTGTAGTGTTGAAAATGAGTTGGGCAAATATACTGTTAACAGGATGGACTTGTGTATGATCTGCCTAGTATGGGCCAACAGGCCTAATGCAGTGTTCCTCCTTTCTTATGTTTTTATACAATTCAGAGATTTGAGGAAGGACTGCTGAGGTAGTCACAGCATTTAGATGAAGAGGTTGTATATATCCGGGGTGCAAAGTTAACCCTTTGACTGTTTTGGTCATATATATACACGTCTTACGAGCCACTGTGTTTGATATATATACTCCAAAATTCTATCGGCTTCAAATCAAGCAGGAGAAAGCTGGTAGGCCCACACATGAGAGAATGGGTCTGTGTGGTCAGTGTGCACCATATAAAAGAAATCCTGCAGCACGCAGTGCATAATGAGAAAAAAAAAATGACTTTTTTTGGATTAAAACGCCGACTTTGTGGTGCATTTTCACATAGTATTTATGCTTGTATTCTCGTTTTCTTGGTCTCATTTGATAGAGTGGAAAACATATTATAGAAATAGAGGTGATTTTGATTGATTTTACTATGAAAAAAACCTTGAAATGGAGCTCAAAGTAGGGGAAATGTTTGAGTTTTGCCGATGTTCAAAAGTAAACAAATGATGTTATTGTCCAATAAATGTCCAACAAGCCATTCTGATATGCAGTCATGAATGGGTTGACATTATTTATACAATTATTACAATATTGCAGTAGTCTGCATAACAGTAAATCTTCTATTTTTTGTTTGAATAAAACTTCAAAATACAAAGCAAGAGTAATATCAGAGGGGCCTGGAGATGTGACTAATGAACAAAGAAAATGTTATTTTAGAGCCAGGAATGTCTGCATTGTTCATTCTGAACCCTATTTTGAAATTAGCATATTTTTTAATTTGCAGGAAATTGGCCAAATTGCAAATTTCTGATCATGTTATTGGGTAATTGAAATCGGTAAATGGGCAGTTTCTTGTACTCAATCAATAGAACAAATGGAGTTCTAAAGAAATAGTTATGAGTTTGGTTGACTGGAACAATGGAATTAGCCGAAAAAAGGGTTCAAAGTGGGTGAAATTGCCGATTCGTAAATATCGTCGAGGTCGCTAACTTTGCAAGAGCGTAATTCTTTTAAGTTTTTCATCAAATTTTGTTCTTTTGGTGTCATTACAATCGGGAAAAGATTCTCTATCATTTCATAAGAAAATTTTTTTTTCCCAAAATTTTTTGACACCAGGAGACACCTCAGTATTTGGGGTTTCGACAGTCAAGGGGTTAAAGGGGCAGGTGTCATCCCAGGAATGGTTGAAGAGAATTAGAAGAGGATTTGAAATCCATGGGCTTGAACATCCCGCAGGCTCTTGTGAGCATGATAGAATTGAATCTGAACAGGTGATTTTTAATGGACATACTGCTGGAGTGTGAACAAAGTAACAGTTAAGAAGGGATTCAGAGAAACTGCTTAGCCAGACTCTGGTACTAGATGTGGGAATGGCAGTGCCTACACTCTGAAGGTGGGGTGGGGTGAGGATGTTGCAGTCTGAGGATAATGTCATCTAAACTGTGATGCAAGCATACTTCTAACAAAGTTATTGAATTATGGTGAATGTGTTTCCTTGTGTTTGGATCACCATCCACTGGCAATAGATGACCAATGAAGAAATAGAAAACAGAATTTTCATGATAACCAGGTGTTACCACCACCAATGAGTAAAAGATTACATACAATTTGCAATGAACAGAATACATACATTATGTGCTTGTTGTCATTTAAAAGACCATAAGCCAGCACAGCAGCAGCTGGCTGTGTAACTGTAGTGAGGACAGTGAAAGCAGCTTTATTTGCTGCCTTCTTCACAGCAGCAATTGTTCCTTCACTGCTCCATGCAGGCACAGTAATGACCACTGGCAGTTCTGGCTCACTTGTGTGGGCACTAGCAATCTCTGAAAGAATAAAGAAATTTTTGCTGTTTGCAACAATTCTTTAAAACATGGTATTTAGCAAAATTTGAAGTTTCAGATATATTATTATTATAATAAAAAAAGAAGCACTAAACCTACAAGGGTCATACAGCGCCACAGTTTCAGATATAGAAATAAAGAACATCCTCTCCCCAAAATTTTTTTCAGAATAAAATACTCTACATATATACATGTATAGTACATAAAATATGGAAATCATGTTTAGGATACTAAATTATGGACAAACTACTGTGTATTTCAGTGACAATTTCTAAATTCATTGTATATTTGGGTATAGTGTTTTCAGCAAGCAAGGTAATGCCTTCCTTCGCTGCAAACTGGATTTTATTTAGCCGTATTTTCAGAAAAATTTGTTTTATCCCATAAGATCTTATTATGCAGTTGCTAAACAAAGTTATTTCCTTATGTACATTGAGTTGAAGAGCAAAATTTACATTTTACACTTGGTGAACTGCAAGGAAAATTCCACAAAGCTAACTTTTGCTAAACAAAATTCAACAAAGTAAGCTGTTGCTAAGCAAAAGATTTCTGTACTAATATGTCTAAGAAAATGCAAGAAACATTAAAGCAGGGGATTTTAATAAAAAAAAAAAAAAAGTTATAAGTAGATTATGTTACCCTAAAGCAATTTTTAGGGAAATTAAATAGATTGATATAAACAACATACTCCTGTAACACTATTCATAAAAAAAAAAACAGTAATTTGCTAAAAACTTATCAGATATTTAAACAAGCCATAAATTAATACAACTGATACCTTTATTACAAGAGAAATTCTGAAAGATGAAGTATACACAGTAGGAAAAGGCAGCACAAACCAAATCTCTAATTCAAATTCATAAAAAAATAAATGTGAATGAAAACATGAAAATACTGGCTGATATGTGAATCAGAGGAAGAAATATGTGAAGGTACCCAATACTTAAAAAAAAAAAAAAAAAAAAAAAAAAAAAAAAAAAAAAAAAGTGTATATTTATACAAGAAAAGACCTTACATAACACTGACTCGACATACATACACAAGTATTACATATCAACGAACCTTTCAGAAGAGAAAAGATATGAGCGAGAACTTCATCTGCAGATACTTGTACAGTTTTCTCTCCCCGTTGCACTGCATAACGTGGTTGACCGCTTTCCCAGTTAGGGCGACATGACATACTTGAGGGACACACGCCTTCATCCTCCACTGTACCCACCACCCGTAACACATTAAGCACAGTGCTTGCACCGTGACGAATTATTCCCTGCTTGGCTGATAATCCACTCACCTACATAGATTTTTTTATTTACATACAGGTTAACTGATAACTGTCATGACAAACTAACACTGAAGATATTGTACCACAGTATAACTACCTCTAATTAAAAATATATTTAACAGTAAGCCACTACAGGTCTGATATATGTACTATACTATAGCTTAAAAACTTACCACTTCCATATCATGGAAAGCAACAACAGCAGGTGTGACCCTGTCTCCCGCAGCATTAGCCACCACTTCAAATTTTCCATCCTGGAAAAATTAGAAATCAGTAATTACAGACATGTTAGTAATGGATTTGTTTCAGTTCCAAAATGGCAGTACAATACTGATTATGTTACGTAGAAAATTACTGCAATTATAAAAATATTCATCTCTGCACCCTATCAGGTTTCATGGGATCTTGCTTAACTGCTACTTGTTTAATTCAACTTACTAAACACATTACTGATACCATGATATGTTTCATAAGAGTATTTTGGGCTTCTTACTATTTCTAAGTATTGTGAATTATATGCCAGACTGGAGTCCAGGAGGTGGGAAATGAAGTACCTACACTTGGAAGGGGTTGGGATGATGCAGTTTGAAGGGTCATCTGAATTGTGACATCTGTGCGCTTTTGAGAAGACAGTGATTGAATGAATGACAGCGAATGTTTCCTTTTGTGTTATGTTAAGTAAGCTTATTTAAGCACTGGTACACACAAGGAATATTATTATACATAATATAAATTACCTAGGATAATGCAAAGAGTCAGACAAAGTGACTTATTTCTCTTGGGGCTATTTAGAGCGAGTATGAAGCGAGTGTTCAGACATCTGGACCTGTCGGCAGATGGGTCTATGATAGACGAAGTGAACCACAGAACTGACAAGAGAAAAAAAGGTGGGTGGTGCACTGAAGCATCTGTGAAGACAAAGAACATTATCTATTGAGGTATAAAGGGAAATGCATATGAGTATAGTGGTACCAACACTCTTATATGGGTGTGAAGCTTGGGTTCTAAATATTGCAGCAAGGAGGCTGGAGGTAGTGGAGATGTTGTGTTTGAGGGCAAGGTGTGGTGTGATTATGCAAAAAATTCGTAGTTTGGAGACTAGAAGGGCGCAGAGTTACTAAAAATATTATCCAGAGGGCCGAGTTGTTGTTTAAGTGGTTTGGACATCTAGAGAGGATGGAGCAAAACAAGATGACTTGGAGGGTGCATAAATTTGTAGTGAAAGGAAGGCAAAAGTACGAGTCGTCCTAGGAAAAGTTGAAGGGATGGGGGTAAAGGAGGTTTTATATGCAAAGGACATCCAACAAGCATGCATAAGCGTGTTATATTTTTAGTGAGTTTTTGACTTGATGTGCTGCTGAAGTGTGAGCAAGATTTACATATATGAAGGGATTCAGGGAAAATGGGTTAACTGAACCTGAGCCCTGGGGGTGAAAAGTACAATCCCTGCACTCTGGAGGGACAGGGGGAGATTTGCAGCTTGGAGAGGCATTTGAACTGTAGTATCGGCATGCATCTAGCAAGACGGTGACCGAGTAACTTTTTTTTTATGGAGGGGGGGGGAGGGTTGTCACCCCACCTCAGTGGGAGATGACTGGTGTGCTAAAACAATTCTACAGTATTATCTAGCTGTATATTTATCTGTTTTTCAGTCTTTTTAGCTTTCTTCAATATTTTTTATTTTTAGCATCCTTTAAACAATCAGATTCTAAAACCACTGTATAACAATGTATTTTAAATACATGCACAAGATTACCTTTATCATTAAAGGAACAAACCAAACCTGTAGGGATCATACAGCACTTGGAAAATGGAAGGCAATCTGGTTTGAGTCAAGACAAAGTAGGGAAATTCCAATTCCTTTGATCATGAGTTGGTAGCACAGCATTTCTCAACCTTTTTACCTTTGCGGAACCCCTGAAATAATTTTCGTGTCTTAGGAAACCCCACATAAAAATTATTATATATCATTATTAATATCTTTCCCTCTCTTTTATAAGCGTAAAGTTCATAAGGAAAATGTATTTTCTAATACAGTGGACCCTCGGGTAATGTCATCGGATAACGTAAAAATCGGATAGCAACATGTTTTTGTGTCAAAATATTGGCTCGGTTTCCGAAAAAGAACTTGGTTAAGGACATTCGTCCCAAATGTGTCAGTGTGGCGTGAGTGGTCCAGACACTCCACGTACAGCTAGTGTGCCATTGTTTACAAGCCAGTGAGGATGATTCCAGAAAGCTTCTAGTGCCAGCCCTGTGGTAAAGAGGGTGAGAAACATTACTGAATTTCAAGAAAAAGTTTGTAGACAGATACAAAAGTGGTAGTATGGGCCAATAGGTCTGCTGCAGTGTTCCTGCTTTCTTATGTACACCAGCGAGGGTACTTCCTACACACCAGCCAGGGAACTTCCCCACATACCAGCCAGGGAACTTCCCCACATACCAGCCAGGGAACTTCCCTACATACCAGCCAGGGAACTTCCCCACATACCAGCCAGGAAACTTCCCTACATACCAGCCAGGGTACTTCTCCACATACCAGCCAGGGTACTTCCCCACACACCAGGCAGGGTACTTCCCCACACACCAGGCAGGATACTTCCCCACACACCAGGCAGGGTACTTCCCCACACACCAGGCAGGGTACTTCCCCACACACCAGGCAGGGTACTTCCCCACACACCAGGCAGGGTACTTCCCCACACACCAGGCAGGGTACTTTCCCCACACACCAGGCAGGGTACTTCCCCACACACCAGGCAGGGTACTTCCCCACACACCAGGCAGGGTACTTCCCCACACACCAGGCAGGGTACTTCCCCACACACGATTTGATTTGATTGGGACTTGCGCATGAGTGAATAGAATTATCAAAGCTTACTGCCTGGGAAGCATTGAAAATTGGGTTGGGCAAATACATTTCTGTTAGTGGGATGGTTTGTGAAGGATCTTCCTAGTATGGGTCAACAAGCCTGCTGCAGTGCTCCTGCTTTCTTATGTGTAAACATTTATGGATGAACATCACCCTGACACAGCTGTTGCAGGCCATGATGGCAACATCTACAATGACAATGTTGTCCCATTTTAGGGAAATCTTAGAGAGATGCCAGAAACAGAGCTCTCTGGACAGATTTTTGGTGCAACAGGGGTCCAGTGACTCTCAAGCTGGTCCTAGTGGCATTAAAAATCAAAGAAAGGAGGTAACCCCAGAAAAAGATGTGTTACCTGAAGTCTTTATGGAAGGGGATTCTCCTTCCAAACAATTGCAAACTCCTCCATCCTCTGCCCTCCTCTCATCTCATCACTCATTAATACATCTTCAGTAAAGGTAAGTGTCATTTCAGTATTGTTTATTCTGCATGTCTCATTGTTTTCTGTGTAGGGAAATGTATATGTCATGTAAAAAAATTATTTTGTTTAATACTTTTGGATGTCTGGAATGGATTAATTGGATTTCCATTATTTATGGGGAAAATTAATTCGGATAACGAAAAAATCGGTTGAAGACAAGCTTTCTGGAACGAATTAATGTCGTTACCTGAAGGTTCACTGTAACTGGTTAACTGTTAACTTTCTTAAGTTAACAATGAAAAAAAAAAAAAAAAAAAAAAAAGCTTGTTCAAGAGACCTCACATGGAGGTTTGCATTCACACACAAAAATTAACCATATCTGTAAAAAAAAAAAAAAAAAAAAAAAAATTAAACAAATAACCAATATCATATACACCTATTATCCGACTTACGACCAAGCTTGGTTCCAACTAACCGGTCATAAGTCAAAATGGACGCAAGTTGAACCTTACTACTAAATATCAGCATCACATGATGTAATGATTTTATTTTATTGTTTTATTTTGGTATTTCATTTTTTACTTTTTATGCTATTAGTACCGTATTTTATACTACAAGGTTTAGGAGAAACACCGTGTACAACACAAACAGTCATTTATTTCCCAGAACATCTGCATACAAAACATGGTCATAAGTCGAGTGGTTGTATGTCGAGCAGGTCTTAAGTCGGATGGTAGGTATACATATATACTATGTATAAACAGAATGAAAACAGATAATAACTACAATAACTTAAATGGCTGTTGACAATGTTGAAAAGGCAAAATGTCTTACAAATATATGGGTCAAGGAAATGTTATTTTTGAAGCCAATTTAGATAAAATTTGCTTTTCTGATGTCAAACCTGTGGTTGCTTTTGGTACACAAATACTTAATTCGGGGTTGAATTTAGACAGACATACATGGATTTCATCTTCAACTGAAAGGGGGGCTTTCTGTCTTTGTTCTTGATGCTTGTTAAATAAGAAAAAGGTTCCTCACACATTTAAGAGGTTGAAAACTACAGTAAGGTTGAAAACTCGAGCGAGTCACCTGTTATACGAATCCATCAGGTACAGCTCCTGTCCACTGACCACTAAAGGCAGTTTCACACTGGTGCTGTACAGACGTTTCTAAACATATTTACTATGATTATTATACTTTTAAATGATATAATAGGTCGAAGAATTTATTATAATACAAAAGAATTTTCCAAGAATATGCCATACATGTATAGTGGGAGACGACCGACTTGTTGAGAGAAAAAAAAAAAAAAAAAAAAAAAACAATATGATTAGCCTATTTATCACTATTTCTCATGGCACTCTTAACGACCTCTTGCAGAACACTAGGATTCTGGGGAACCCCGGCTGAGAAACGCTGCACTAGCACTTCTCTTGAAGGGAAGATTATCTCTTAGATTGTAGAATAAAGAATTTAATATACAAGTTGCAGAATAAAGAATTTAATATACAAGTTGCAAAATAAAGAATTTAATATATATGAGGAGGACAAGTCACACAGGTTTGGGCATGCATGTCCAAGTGGATCCAAAACAAAACTGATAACTATTAACTGCTGCTGGTTGATAATCACAAAGGATGTGATTTTCCATTTTTTTTATCCTAGCATTTCTTTTTCTTTAGGATACCCAGGTTGTCCCATGTAAAACATGCAAATTTGACAAGATACAGAGCTTGAGCATGTGTGTTCATTGGGCGAAGAAACCTAACGAAGTATTATAAAGAACAATTTATTCCTTAAAATATTAGGAACAATATGTGGATCAGATAGGTTTCTGGAAATGGTAACCTACCCTAAGGAAACCCAACATAACTCAACCTAACTTTATCTTACTCTGCCAAAGGTAGAAATGAGAGTGGCCTTTGTTAACATGAAACTGTGTGTTCCTCCGATTCACCAAAAGCATTACACGGCAATGCTAACTGTTGATAAGCTATGAAGGGCACTCATGGCTAAATAAAAGTGTATTATTTTTGCTAGTATCTACCCAATAAAATTTTGCACAAGAAATAATAATTGATGCCAGGGTGTAAATTAACACATTTGTATTTTACATAATGTAATGAGTTGAGAACAGGTCCTAAACTCTATAATGATCCTTATTTTCATTGGGATCCTTAAATCCTCTTTCTCAGGGTGTAATCCATACCAGTGAATTACCACCCAGGTACCCACAAGCTGCCCATGTTCACCTACTGCCAGGTGAACAGGCAGCAGGTTTAAGGAAATATGCCGAATGTTTCTACCTGTGCTGGGGATCAACTCTGGTTCCACAAGTGTGAGCTGAGGCTACTATCAGCTGAGCCAAGAGCCATACCAACAGAGGCATGAGGTATGCCAGGCAGGTTTAACTTGTAATTAACCATCAAATACGCTCAAAGTTAAGATTAGTTCCAATTCACTGGAAGAAGGGACTTTGGAAATAAATGGTATAAAATACTGACACAATGAAAAAATAAACACAGCAGCAGTATAATGTGATCCTTTGTGTGATCCAACAACTTCAACCAAAACAACGGTTTCTATAACATAGCTGAACCCCTTGCCAAGAAACTTCTTTGTTATCCCACATAAAAACATAAGAATGGAGGAACACTGCAGAAGGTCTACTCGTATATTTGTCCAATCTCTTTTTAAAGCTACCCAAGGTCCTAGCCTCTATCACCCTACTCGGAAGATTATGACACGCAGGTTCAGATCCAACCTACCCAGCATTCTCCACCTGACTTCACCCTATAAATACTCACGTACCTTTCGCCCAGGTAAATCTGTTTGTAACTTGATAAGGCCCACTGTCTGGGGTGAAACGTTGTCAATAACGGATCACATTATACTAACCATATCACGGGTGGGGTTTGAACCCACGGTCAGTCTCAAAACTCCAGACCGTCGCGTTAGCCACTGGGCCAGCTGGCCCAATGGCTAACGCAACAGTCTGGAGTTTTGTGACTCTCTGACCGTGGCTTCAAACCCCACCCATGGTATGGCTTGTTTGCAATCGTGTCATTATGATTTTATGAGTCACATTTTACTGCTTCTGTGTTTATTTTTCCAGCAGGAACTTTAACTGGCATTAAGGTATCTCCTTTGAAGGGTGCTTTTGGCTTGGTTGGCAGCGTTTTCACCTCACATACTGAGGGTCCAAGATCCATCTGGCATGGGTAGATTTCCTTATAGTAAGTAAGTACGTTACACCTTACACCTGCTGTCTGTAATCACCTAGCAGTGAGAATCCTGAGGGACAAGATTAAAGGACCACAATGAAAATAAGACAAGAATCCTCAACGACACGCTGACTTTATTGAGTTAACCTGGGTAGTTAACCCTCCCTATCCCAACAAAATCTTATAATATTCGCAAACAAGCACCAAATCCGGCCAGTATGAAACCACACAACAACCAAATTCTGTAAATTTAACATTGTAATCTTTATAGAGAATAAACTTTGAATTAAACAAAAAAAATGTCACTATTTGAAATTTTGATTTCCCAATCCATCAAATTTCATGGTAAACGAGGTATACAAAGAGGAAACATTTGTTACAAAAAAAAAAAAAAAGAAACATTGTAACCAAAAAAATATTTGGTTAAGATTTTTTTGAAAATCATCACAATGTTATTAGTGTAGAGCTGTAGTGAAGACTGACGACAGCTACACTTACACCAGTCAACAACACCTCACCTTATTAACGGCAATACAACAGGAGCTACAGCCAATGTATATGCCAAATGCCACTGACATTTCCCCGTTGCTTGTTTGAGCCTCATGTGGATATTGTGAATGTTTTGGCCGAGTGTTGGGGAGGGGGAGGGGGAGGGGGGTGTCACCCTGCCTCGCCCTGCCTCACACACACAACCAATCACAACTCTCATACACTGAAAACCTTAACGTTGATTGGCTACATTTTACTCCCTTCCTGGACGTTATCCCCTTCCATTACATTATTTTTATCTGCATGCCGGATGAAAATGTGCAATTTACGCTGTTTAACCTTAAAATCATTATTTATTTATACGTAGCGAACAATATCATAAACTTTTAGAGGGATTATTTTTATATTAACATTTTAATTAAGAGAACCATCCTCAGGAAGGTGCTGAGGTAATGCTCTACTTACTTCCTTATGAGGCTAGTTTCCTTATGACTTTTCTAACTTATATTTACATCAACGTATGTAATGTATTTATTTTTAAAACTAAATAAGTGCTCTAAACTTTCTTATATCCTTAAGAGTGGCTTGAGTTAGCTGAGATGAGTATATGTCTCTCCTCATAAGGAACTATGGAACTGAAGCTTCACGATGTTTCGAGTCATGAGAGAAATATGAATCTTTTTTTCTCTCCAGTGTTGATAAGCCATCAAGGGAGGTTCCTTGATGCTGGTGATGGGCTCTTGATCTAGGGAATTGGCTCTGTTCTCCGGTTCCCTGAATTGAGCCTGAATACCTTCCATCCCCCTCATGTGCTGTATAATCCTACGGGTTTAGCACTCCCCCATGATTATAATAATAATAATAATCCAGTGTTGATAAATTTATTTAGGTAGTTACACAATTCTGAATGATTATAATAGTCTTACATAATAACATATTTCAATTACCCAGGATAAACAAAAAAAATCAGTTATTTCCACTTGGATGCTTCGTTACAAATATATAGATCAGCATGTCTTATAGATAGGTAAGTAGGTATTAGGTTTGACACGGGTCTTAGTCATGTCATGACCCGCAGCTGGAGCTTTTGGTCATCTGACAGAAGCCTTCGATGGCTTACCAGTCCAACCCTTTAAAAATTATGGTTACGATATAACCATGAGAGTGTTCAGCAGAAGTTTGTGCTTACAGGAAAGTGGGTGCGGGAGGGAAGAGGAGCGATTGGTGGAATGATAATGTAAAGAGAGTAGTAAGGGAGAAAAAGTTAGCATATGAGAAGTTTTTACAAAGTAGAAGTGATGCAAGGAGGGAAGAGTATATGGAGAAAAAGAGAGAGGTTAAGAGAGTGGTGAAGCAATGTAAAAAGAGAGCAAATGAGAAAGTGGGTGAGATGTTATCAACAAATTTTGTTGAAAATAAGAAAAAGTTTTGGAGTGAGATTAACAAGTTAAGGAAGCCTAGAGAACAAATGGATTTGTCAGTTAAAAATAGGAGAGGAGAGTTATTAAATGGAGAGTTAGAGGTATTGGGAAGATGGAGGGAATATTTTGAGGAATTGTTAAATGTTGATGAAGATAGGGAAGCTGTGATTTCGTGTATAGGGCAAGGAGGAATAACATCTTGTAGGAGTGAGGAAGAGCCAGTTGTGAGTGTGGGGGAAGTTTGTGAGGCAGTAGGTAAAATGAAAGGGGGTAAGGCAGCCGGGATTGATGGGATAAAGATAGAAATGTTAAAAGCAGGTGGGGATATAGTTTTGGAGTGGTTGGTTCAATTATTTAATAAATGTATGGAAGAGGGTAAGGTACCTAGGGATTCTGGAGTTTATCTGGAGAGAGTTCCGGGGGTCAACGCCCCCGCGGCCCGGTCTGTGACCAGGGATTGGCAGAGAGCATGCATAGTTCCTTTGTATAAAGGCAAAGGGGACAAAAGAGAGTGCAAAAATGATAGGGGGATAAGATAAGATAAGATTTCGTTCGGATTTTTAACCCCGGAGGGTTAGCCACCCAGGATAACCCAAGAAAGTCAGTGCGTCATCGAGGACTGTCTAACTTATTTCCATTGGGGTCCTTAATCTTGTCCCCCAGGATGCGACCCACACCAGTCGACTAACACCCAGGTACCTATTTGCTGCTAGGTGAACAGGACAACAGGTGTAAGGAAACGTGTCGAATGTTTCCACCCGCCGGGAATCGAACCCGGGCCCTCCGTGTGTGAAGCGGGAGCTTTAGCCACCAGGCCACCGGGCCACCCACCAAGTCTGTTGAGTATACCTGGTAAAGTGTATGGTAGAGTTATTATTGAAAGAATTAAGAGTAAGAGGGAGAATAGGATAGCAGATGAACAAGGAGGCTTTAGGAAAGGTAGGGGGTGTGTGGACTAAGTAAGTAAGTAAGTAAGTAAGTAAGTAAGTTTATTCAGGTATACACAAATACAGTTACATAGAATTATCATACATAGCAGCATATGTGTAGAGAACCTAGGATAACCCAAAAAAGTCAGACAGAGTGACTTATTTCCATTGGGGTCCTTTGGACCAGGTGTTTACAGTGAAACATATAAATGAACAGTATTTAGATAAGGCTAAAGAGGTCTTTGTGGCATTTATGGATTTGGAAAAGGCGTATGACAGGGTGGATAGGGGGGCAATGTGGCAGATGTTGCAGGTGTATGGTGTAGGAGGTAGGTTACTGAAAGCAGTGAAGAGTTTTTACGAGGATAGTGAGGCTCAAGTTAGAGTATGTAGGAAAGAGAGAAATTATTTCCCAGTAAAAGTAGGCCTTAGACAAGGATGTGTGATGTCACCGTGGTTGTTTAATATATTTATAGATGGGGTTGTAAGAGAAGTAAATGCAAGGGTCTTGGCAAGAGGCGTGGAGTTAAAAGATAAAGAATCACACATAAAGTGGGAGTTGTCACAGTTGCTCTTTGCTGATGACACTGTGCTCTTGGGAGATTCTGAAGAGAAGCTGCAGAGATTGGTGGATGAATTTGGTAGGGTGTGCAAAAGAAGAAAATTAAAAGTGAATACAGGAAAGATTAAGATTATGAGGATAACAAAAAGATTAGGTGATGAAAGACTGGATATCAGATTGGAGGGAGAGAGTATGGAGGAGGTGAACGTATTCAGATACATTTGGGAGTGAACGTGTCAGCGGATGGGTCTATGAATGATGAGGTGAATCATAGAATTGATGAGGGGAAAAGGGTGAGTGGTGCACTTAGGAGTCTGTGGAGACAACGAACTTTGTCCTTGGAGGCAAAGAGGGGAATGTATGAGAGTATAGTTTTACCAACCCTCTTATATGGGTGTGAAGCATGGGTGATGAATGTTGCAGCGAGGAGAAGGCTGGAGGCAGTGGAGATGTCATGTCTGAGGGCAATGTGTGGTGTGAATATAATGCAGAGAATTCGTAGTTTGGAAGTTAGGATGAGGTGCGGGATTACCAAAACTGCTGCCCAGAGGGCTGAGGAAGGGTTGTTGAGGTGGTTCGGACATGTAGAGAGAATGGAGCGAAACAGAATGACTTCAAGAGTGTATCAGTCTGTAGTGGAAGGAAGGCGGGGTAGGGGTCGGCCTAGGAAAGGTTGGAGGGAGGGGGTAAAGGTTTTGTGTGCGAGGGGCTTGGACTTCCAGCAGGCATGCGTGAGCGTGTTTGATAGGAGTGAATGGAGACAAATGGTTTTTAATACTTGACGTGCTGTTGGAGTGTGAGCAAAGTAACATTTATGAAGGAGTTCAGGGAAACCGGCAGGCCGGACTTGAGTCCTGGAGATGGGAAGTACAGTGCCTGCACTCTGAAGGAGGGGTGTTAATGTTGCAGTTTAAAAACTGTAGTGTAAAGCACCCTTCTGGCAAGACAGTGATGGAGTGAATGATGGTGAAAGTTTTTCTTTTTCGGGCCACCCTGCCTTGGTGGGAATCGGCCAGTGTGATAATAAAAAATAATAATAATAATATAACCATTTCTTATAGCTGAGCTTTAAATATGAAGATCTTACAAGGACCCTCAGTGAGTGAAAATAAGTCACTTCGTCTGAAGTTTTGTTTGGTTGTCCTAGTTAATGTACACACGTTACTATATATTATAATTGTAATCACTTAAATCTGTGTAACTGTACTTATGTGTACCTGTACCAAAATAAACTTACTCTTTTACTTACACAGTTCGATTTCCTACACATGTATATGAATAAACAACGCTGCAACTAGCCAAGGGCTCGAACCCATGCTGCTTTGGCCTGCTTCATGGTGGGTGAAAACTCATGACGCCTTAATCCACTGGACCATACATCCTTGTATGGTCCAGTGGATTAAGGCGTCATGAGTTTTCGCCCACCATGAGGCAGGCCAAAGCAGCATGGGTTTGAGTCCTTGGCTAGTCGCAGTGTTGTTACTGATCATACCACTCGTTCGTGGGCACAATAATGTATATGTACATACATTTATTTCTGAACTAAACTAAAAGCAAATTAAACAAATTTTATTTTCAAAGCGTGTTGCAAAACCGGGCGACATTTATTTATTATTAATTTATTAATATGGACATTATACATAGATGTACAAAGAAATACAGTGGTTAAGTGCAACATTGTAAACATTTTGAGAAGCCCTGGTTGTGCAAGCATTAGTTATTTTACGAGGCAATACATTATTTTTAGCTTCACTTAAACTAACTCTAATCGACAATAACGAAATAATCGTGTCATTACGATTTCGTGAGCCACGAAATGCCTTTACTGTTTACCTGGAGAGAGTTCCGGGGGTCAACGCCCCCGCGGCCCGGTCTGTGACCAGGCCTCCTGGTGGATCTGAGCCTGATCAACCAGGCTGTTACTGCTGGCTACACGCAAACCAACGTACGAGCCACAGCCCGGCTGGTCAGGTACCGACTTTAAGTGCTTGTCCAGTGCCTGCTTGAAGACTGCCAGGGGGCTGTTGGTAATCCCTCTTATGTATGCTGGGAGGCAGTTGAACAGTCTCGGGCCTCTGACACTTATTGTATTGTCTCTTAACGTGCTAGGGACACCCCTGCTTTTCATTGGGGGGATGTTGCATCGTCTGCCAAGTCTTTTGCTTTCGTTGTGAGTGATTTTCGTGTGCAAGTTCGGTACTAGTCCCTCTAGGATTTTCCAGGTGTATATAATCATCAAGATCGAGAACCAAAACCTAGTCATTGTGGTAGTCTACAAGCCTCCGGATGCAACATCCCAGCAATTCCAGGAACAGCTGTTAAAAATTGACCACTGTCTGGAAAATCTTCCAGCTCCTGCCCCCAACATCTTGCTCCTGGGGGATTTCAACTTAAGGCGCCTAAAATGGAGGAATGTAGCAAATAATAATTGTTGCAGTAATAACACCAGGAGGCAGCTCTGATGAAAACTCACACTCACACAAAATTCAATTTAAACCAGCAAATAATAGAGCCTACTAGACTGGAGAATACACTAGACCTCATCTTCACTAACAACGATGATCTGATAAGAAATGTCACCATATCAAAAACAATATACTCAGATCACAACATAATTGAGGTTCAGACATGTATGCGCGGAGCCCCAGACCGACATAATGAGATTAGTCACGAGGGTGCATTCACCAAATTCAACTTCAATAACAAAAACATAAAGTGGGACCAAGTAAACCAAGTCCTAACCGATATAAGCTGGGAAGATATACTAAGTAACACAGACATAGCCCCACTCCACAAAGGGGGCAGTAAAGCAACAGCAAAGAACTACAGACCGATAGCACTAACATCCCATATCATAAAAATCTTTGAAAGGGTCCTAAGAAGCAAGCTCACCACCCATCTAGAAACCCATCAGTTACACAACCCAGGGAAACATGGGTTTAGAACAGATCGCTCCTGTCTGTCTCAACTATTGGATCACTACGACAAGGTCCTAGATGCACTAGAAGACAAAAAGAATGCAGATGTAATATATACAGACTTTGCAAAAGCCTTCGACAAGTGTGACCATGGCGTAATAGCGCACAAAATGCGTGCTAAAGGAATAACAGGAAAAGTCGGTCAATGGATCTATAATTTCCTCACTAACAGAACACAGAGAGTAGTAGTCAACAGAGTAAAGTCCGAGGCAGCTACGGTGAAAAGCTCTGTTCCACAAGGCACAGTACTCGCTCCCATCTTGTTCCTCATCCTCATATCTGACATAGACAAGGATGTCAGCCACAGCACCGTGTCTTCCTTTGCAGTAGACACCCGAATCTGCATGACAGTGTCTTCCATTGCAGACACTGCAAGGCTCCAGGCGGACATCAACCAAATCTTTCAGTGGGCTGCAGAAAACAATATGAAGTTCAACGATGAGAAATTTCAATTACTCAGATATGGTAAACACGAGGAAATAAAATTTTCATCAGAGTACAAAACAAATTCTGGCCACAAAATAGAGTGAAACACCAATGTCAAAGACCTGGGAGTGATCATGTCAGAGGATCTCACCTTCAAGGACCATAACATTGCATCAATCGTATCTGCTAGAAAAATGACAGGATGGATAATGAGAACCTTCAAAACTAGGGAGGCCAAGCCCATGATGACACTCTTCAGGTCACTTGTTCTATCTAGGCTGGAATATTGCTGCACACTAACAGCACCTTTCAAGGCAGGTGAAATTGCCGACCTAGAAAATGTACAGAGAACCTTCACGGCGCGCATAACGGAGATAAAACACCTCAATTACTGGGAGCGCTTGAGGTTCCTAAACCTGTATTCCCTGGAACGCAGGCGGGAGAGATACATGATTAAATACACCTGGAAAATCCTAGAGGGACTAGTACCGAACTTGCACACGAAAATCACTAAAAACGAAAGCAAAAGACTTGGCACACGATGCAAAATCCCCCCAATGAAAAGCAGGGGTGTCACTAGCACGTTAAGAGACCATACAATAAGTGCCAGGGGCCCGAGACTGTTCAACTGCCTCCCAGCATACATAAGGGGGATTACCAACATACCCCTGGCAGTCTTCAAGCTGGCACTGGACAAGCACCTAAAGTCGGTTCCTGACCAGCCGGGCTGTGGCTCGTACGTTGGTTTGCGTGCAGCCAGCAATAACAGCCTGGTTGATCAGGCTCTGATCCACCAGGAGGCCTGGTCACAGACCCGGCCGCGGGGGCGTTGACCCCCCGGAACTCTCTCCAGGTAAACTCTAGGTATCTCTCCCGCCTGCATTCCAGGAAGTACAGGTTCAGAAACCTCAAGCGCTCCCAGTAATTGAGGTGTTTTATCTCCGTTATGCGCGCCGTGAAGGTTCTCTGTACATTTTCTAGGTCAGCAATTTCACCTGCCTTGAAAGGTGCTGTTAGTGTGCAGCAATATTCCAGCCTAGATAGAACAAGCAACCTGAAGAGTGTCATCATGGGTATGGAAAATTGCATTTAACTGAATGTATCACTATGTACATAACAGTAAATGAACAAAGATAATTATTATTTATCAGTTAGACAAGTAGGAATTTGGGACACCTAGGTCGCAAAAAATGTCCCCCTTTGATACCTACCACTGAAATATCCACAAGTTGCTCTGGACCTATTAATTATATGAAATATACATCACCAGGAATGCTGGTAAATATATAAATTTGTGGACTGTATATTAAAATTTAAAAAGGATTATAGTATATACACACATTTACATAACAGAAGGAAAACATCTTAATATCACTCACCAATTTAACTGGAGATCAACTTGTATCATACTCAGAAAACCTCACTGTCTATACATGAAGATAACAACTGGCCAGTTATAACATAACAGACTTATCTGAGGTTCCTGGAGTTGTCCTGTCCTGTCGCCTGATATCTCAAGTTATGCAGGAATGCACATCCAACAATTTCGCCTCCTATTTGAGAGGTGTCAGCCCAATTTTAACCTCTAGAGCACGAAAATTCCTTCCCATTGCACTAACATTGTATCCAATTCAAATTAACAATGGCGACTGACCTCCCCAGCCGCAGGTTTCCCATTTTTGATGACATACTTCTTTTAAAAATACAATATAGGACATCTATTTACCTATAAATTACCGTATTTCCGGAAAATATATACACTATTTTCCACAATGGGCTTGGCATCCCTAGCTTTGAAGGTTCTCATTATCCATCCGTGGAAATAATCCAGACATAGTGGCTTTTAAATAAAATGAAATAAACTTATTTCTATAAAGAGTGGTTTACAAGTGGTACATGAAAGTTGATACTGACATAGTTTATAAAACTCCCTGCTTATGCAAAGAATTTCCGGCTGCCTCATAACTACTTATTAGTGTAATTTTTGCAATAACAATTTATTGGAAATTTGTTGGGTTTTCCTGGACTATTAATCCGGAGGTGTATTACCCATGTCTAGCTTTCTCCCCCATGGTTGCTGTTTGATACTCTGCCCAGGGTAACATCCAGTAACAGGTGTAAGGAAATATATTCAGTGTTTGTACTGGTGCTGGGATCAACCCTGGCTCTCTCAGATGTGACTCATGAGTTACTTGATTAACATTCTTTTTGGTGTTCTTGTGCTTGTTTATTATTATTATTTTTGTTAATATTACTACAACTGACTTTTTTGGGAGAGTTATCCTAGGAAATTTACATATATTACTATGTATGATAATCTGTATTAGTGTATTTATGTGTACCTCTACCTAAACAAACTTACAAGATTTTAACTTTTAAGGTTTAAGTGATAAGATATTACAAGGATCTCAATGGAAATAAGTCACTTAGACTTTTCTGGGTTATCCTAGATAATCTACACATACGCTGCTATGTATGATAATTTATACAACTGTATTTATGTGTATCTATGTATGATAATGTATGTAACTGTATGTATGATAATGTATGTAACTGTATGTATGATAATTCTATGTAACTGTATTTGTGTATACCTGAATAAACTTACTTACTTACTTACTAATCTATACCTGAATAAACTTACTTACTTACTAATCTATACCTGAATAAACTTACAGATAACAAGTGAGTGAGACAGTGAAGCCAGAAGGTCGAGGCTTCACCCAGCAGCTTCACTCCTTCACAACATCCGTCGTGCTGTGAGTGGACACGTTTCGTGCCGTCTGGCCTAAGAGTGAGTATTTTGTGGGTTTTATTGCTCTTAGACCAAGCACGCTGATGTTTCTTTCATTGTAGTGATGTAACGGTGACATCTACGATGGTTGTAAAGTGAAATAGTTATTATAGCAGTAACAACGTGTAGTAGCTACATGTGATTGTACTCCAGGTAATGGTTCCCATGTTAAACTGTATTTATTATTGGCATTGTTGTTTATTCTGGGTTAGATTTTACTACTTTATGACCAGTGCATTTCTATAATAATAGTGTTCAATGTAGGCCAGAGAAATTTAAAACTGGTAATTCAGTTGATGCTAATATGTATTCATATGTAATTTATAATACTAATGGAAAAAATGGTATAAAATACCTGACACAAATACAAGTTAATATAATCCATTATAGACGACGTTTCGCCCATGCAGTGGTCTCTCAAGCCACAAACCAATTGATAAAGCCCATTTGCGAAATTTTATTAATGAAGGACTGCATTATGCTGCATTTGTCTAAACATCTACCAGTACTACTGAAAATATTCGAGAAAATAATCAACGAACAATTACTAACCTAACCAAGCACAATATACTTATCCATGTTAATTTCGGGTTTGACCTAAAATAAAGGCAAGTATGGTAATAGCTGCTGACAGATACTCGGAGGAATTCTGGCAATATTTTACATTTTTCAATAGATACAACTTTTATATATCGTGGAATAAGTAATCATTTCATGTACAAATTGTTATTTTCGGAGAAATAAGGAAAATTGATATATAGATAGCCCACTAAACAAAGACAGGTTAAGTGATTCAGCTTAACTAAACCATATCCAGCCATAATTAAACCATACCTAGCCTTAACTAAACCATAATTATGCTGTCTCGTAGCTTGATTGCTAGTGCACTTGGCTCGCACATTGAGGTCCGAGGATCGATCTCTGGTATGGGCGGAAACATCAGGATGTGTTTCCTTGAGACACTTTACATTCTGAACGCTTATGGCACGTGGTGTTGGACCAATCTGTCTAAAGAGGAAATGAGAACAGTCTCATGTCTCGTGGAATAACAGGGAATGCTAGCATGTGCAATACAACAGTACAAAAATTTTCTGGAGCATGTACAAAGGGAGATGGGGGTCATTCTTGAAAAAAATATGGGTCCCCATAAGTGTATGGAGTAGCTTTGAGTACATTTTAATTAGTTTTGAACCACTTGAGTATTTTAATATTAATTTATATAAGCTAAACATAATTAGTGAACTACCTAGGACCTCTGCTTATTTAGATTCTTTAATTGGGAATACTTTTTTCCAGTACTGAACCGAGAGTATGCGTTACGTTGCTGCTTACTGTCTGGCCGCCCTAGGTGGTGGCAGCCCTTCTGTTAAGGATATTGAAAAAGTTCTTAGCTCCGTGTCTATTGATTGTGATGCTGCACTGGCAAAGAAAGTTATATCAGAACTTCAGGGCAAGAACTTGGAGCAACTTATTAATGAAGGTTAGTAATGTTTTGTAAGATTCTTAGAACTGAATGTAAGGTGGAAATTCAGATATTCATTTATTTAAAATACAATTAATACCTACTTAAATTAATTTTTTTTTTTTAAAAGCTCAAATGTTAGGTTTTCAGGTTCCATCTCTGAAATATTGATAAAAAGCACCTCCTTATTTTAGTGTGCTTTATGACAGAAATATACTGTCAAACACACATTGAAACTTGCTTGTTCAATTTTCATCAATTGTTCATCTTGTACTACTTATTTCCGTTATTTTTCTACTCTCATATATTGTGCTATATGTTACAATCCCTTCATTCTGACAGTTGTTGTAATAAGAGTTTTGCATAAGATTTTCATTGTACATTACTTAATTTCTTACCTCCATGGAAGGGATTCGGGGAAACCGGCAGGCCAGACTTGATTTCCGGAGATGGGAAGTACAGTGCCAGCACTCTGCAGGAGAGGTGTTAATGTTACAGTTTTATAACTGTAGTGTAAGCATGCCTTTGGCAAGACAGTGATGGAGTGAATGATGGTGGAAGTTTTTGTTTTTCAGGCCACCCTGCTTTGGTGGGAAATGGCTGATGTGTAAATAAAAAAAGTAGAGCTGGAACAAATAGAGATTATTTACAGCCTGCATAGAGCCAGTAAAGCATTTAAATTATGTACTGGGAATGCCTAAGTCTTAAATATGTACTTGCTGGAGCAGAAGAGAGTAATCAAAAGCACTCGAGGGCCTGGTCCCAAATCTACACACTAAGATGCTGGAGCAAGAGGTATGAGAGGAAGGGCAAAATAAACCCGGTGAAAAGCAGGGGTGCAGTGGTCACAATAAGGGAATACTGCATTAACATCTATGGCCCCAGATTATTCAACATATTGCCAGTAAATATAAAAAACACTACTGGGACAAGTATAGAAGTCTTCAAGAGGAAACTGGACAAGTATGTTCAGGTGCCAGATCAACCAGGCTGCAATGGCTATGTGGGTAAGCAAACCACCAGCAGCAATAGCCTGGTTGACTAGGCTAGCACCAGATGAGCCTGGCCCATGGCTGGGCTCCTGGAGTTGAAAGACTCTGAACTCATCAATGGTGTACAAAGATAAGAGTTATTACACTAAAAGTCTAATAAAAATGGACCCCTCATAAAGAGGATTTTGGATAAAACACAAAACAATGTTGCCAGATAAAGGGTCACCATGTGTTTAATGGGATGTCTGATTGAAATAGTCTTGAAGCGGACCAAATCCACAATATCAAACTGCTATCCAGTCCTGTCATATGCTTAATAGAATGGACCAACTCTGCTTAAGGGCTTAATCCTTAATTGCAAGTTTGTATGGTCCAGGTTTTGTCTGGGACCTGTTCATTTTCATTGTGGGGGGTACTAACAAGCCTCTTGAGTCAAACTGGACACGAGTTACAACACCTAGCAGTAGACTCCAGGTAGACAAAATAATTGTTTATAAGAAGCAAAGACAGGGCAGGTGGGACAAGGAAGAGCAAGCAGACAGCTAGCTAGCCATAACTTGAGTGCTCCTTCATCAGATAAGTATTTTCTAAGCTTCACTGTCGTTGTTACTTCATCAGAGATTGCTATGCACATAATATATTAAATTCACCTAGATGTAATTCCACTGAAAGAAAATGCATAGTCCTCCCTACCAACTCTGTTGCCAAACACGTCTCGAACATTATCTCCAGCACAACTCTAAGTAATTACTACTACATCTACTACAATCAGGATCATAAGTAAGGGACAGCACCCACAGGATCAACCCTCCACAAGTGTATACACAATCCCTCGCAATGAAATATATGTGGGCAAAACATCGAGACAAATTGCCAGCAGAATGGATAACTTTAATGCCTTTGTTTACTCCAAAAGTCTCACAGCCATTTAATTACAAAGATGCACAACACATCACCAAGAAGAAGAGGAGACAGTATTTTGGAATCATCACTCTTTCAGCATGCCCAACAATTTTAGCCAGAACAATGAATTGTGCAACATTGCTGAGCCTCTTGCCAGGAAACTTCATTGTTATCCCACATAGCACTACACCAGGTCCTTCTCAAATACAGCATCTTTGCAGCCATATATTTATTCAACCTGCCATTAGTTTATCTAAGAAGTAAGCTTCAACATGTCATCTGACTTTTCATGTCACCATGCTCTATATATATATAAGCACATCCTCTCCCCAGATAATTTGTTTGTGATATGATAAAGCCCAATGTATGAGCACAGTGCTTCCGTAAAGGATCACAGCCCATTGTGTGAGCACAATGCTTCAATAAATTTAGGATTACATACTGCATTTGTCTCTCTTCAGTTGTGTTAGTATTTTATACCATTTCCCTCCAAACAGTCAGAGGTTGGCTTTTCCCATCATGCACTGAGTGGGGCAGGATATTTTTCAGTAGTGCACACCCACCACACTGACCCATTTTCTGATGTCTAGGCCAAAATATATTCACAGCAAATGAGGTTGCTCTACATGAGCAACATAGTGTCAGTAACATAATCTTGATAGAAGACAATGAAATGGTTAAACCCATTAATGCTGTCATTTCTACAGTTAGAAGTTATAGCTGTATCTATAGATGATAACTATAGATTTTTACTTTTCAGTTCCCCTCAAGGAAGGTTCCTTGATGCTGGTGAGGGGCTCTTGATCCAGGGAATTGGATCTGTGCTCCAGTTCCCTGAATTAAGCCTGAATACCTTCAACATCCCCCCCACAGGCGCTGTATAATCCTATGGGTTTAGCGCTTCCCCTTGATTATAATAATAATAATAATAAAAATAATAATAATACTTTTCAGTTGTTTGATTTCTTAGTTTTTCAATACAGTATTCAGCTTATCTTGGTTAAATACAAAAGCATTGATAATCTAATGTCACAAAATACATGTAACTAATGTATGCTATCTTAACAATTCCAGAAGGTGGGATGAACTGTAATATTCATTGTCAATTTTTTTACAGGCCTAAGTAAAATAGGATCTTTGCCAGCTGGAGGTGGTGGTGGTGGTGTTGGCATTGCTGCAGGCGGTGGTGGCAAACCTGCAGCAGCAGCAGCAGCAGCAGCAGCTCCAGCAGAGAAAAAGGAAGAAAAGAAGCCTGAAGAACCAGAGGAAGAATCTGATGATGATATGGGCTTTGGTCTCTTTGATTAATCACTTGATACAAAATAAAATGCTTTTGTGAAACTGGTATTTTAATTACCACAAGCTTGTTGTAAAATTGTAGAAGTCCAGTATTTGAATTTTTTAAGCTACATATGAATTAGTTATTGGTTTTTAATAGGATAGAAACCATAGGTTTGAATGGTTAAGAAAAAATGTACTTTGTGTGTGATCTTTGTATCTGCACACAGCAGCTGTTTCAAGAATTAGAAAAGTTATTGGCACCCTGTTAATATGGCAGCAGGCAGCAGAAACTGAATTTACTATTTGAGGTTTATCAGACACTATGATTTACAGGATTAGCATTTTCCCACAAATAGTAAAATGATTTAATAAATTTTAGATTTAAGGGATAAAATCTGTGCCCTAAAAACATTCAGAAATAATGGACACGGTCCATTCAATCCAGAGTTGTTTTTACAATTGTGGAAAAATTATTTCACTTGGATTTAATGGATAATCTGTTTTATTATTATAATCAAGGGGAAGCACTAAACCTGTAGGATTATACAGCGCCGGGGGGATGTGGAAGGCATTCAGGCTTAATTCGGGGAACTGGAGCACAGATCCAATTCCCTAAATCAAGAGCCCCTCACCAATTTCAAGGAACCTTCCATGAGGGGTAATCTGTTTTAATGTACTTTCTTTTCCCCAATAGTCTGTTGAATTGATACACTTCACTGTAATTTACCTTGGATGAAGCCTATTTCCCTATTACTGTACTTGGGAGTTTTGACCCCCAATAGAATTAGCTTTCAATGTCAACATCCCCCCCCCCCCAAATAAAAAGTTTACAATTCAGAAAAAAAGATTTTTATAAAGGCAGGGGCACCAGAAATGCAAATTTTGATGTAATACAGAAATAGGCAGGTGCAAAGCTGGAGGCTGGTGAGCACTTAAAATGATGAAAAATGCTGTTAAGAGGACTTAGACCAATTCCAGTTCCCAAATAGACCCAATTCCCAGCCATTGTGCTAGTGTGCCTTCTATAGTATTCAATAATAGCAGTACAGGAGGGCCCCCTTTATACAGTAGGTTAGGTTCTGGGTTACTGCTGTAAAGAAAACACAGCTGAGAGGTGAATCATAGCCTTTTTTCACTTTCAAATGCATATAAAAGCCTGATAACATGTTTACACTATCATATATTAAGCGAGCCATTTTTTTTTTTCAACATCTGCTGTCTCCCACCTAGGCAGGGTGACCCAAAAAGAAAGAAAAAATCCCCAAAACAAAACACGTAAATAATACTTTTCAAGCATCAATTGTCAACACTATTACCTCCCGTCCTTATACTCAAATCATTTGATTTTTGCAGAGGGCACCAGATAACGTCTAGATAGCCTATATAAGATTACAATCCAAAAGGACCTGAAATTATTACAATATTAGGGCCCGTTTCCCTTCTGCCATCCAATTCCCTTGCTTCCTTCCCTACCCTGCAGCGCTGTATAGCCCTTGTGGCTTAGCGCTTCTTTTTGATTATAATAATAATAATAATTAGGGCCCATTTTATACCATCCTATTACACACCCCTCCAAACTACCAATATCCCAAATCTCTCCTTTAAAGTGCAGGCATTGTACTTCCCATTTCCAGAACTCAAGTCTGGCTACCCTTGACGTTGGTGAGGGGCCCTTGATCTAAGGAATTAGATCTGTGCTCCAGTTCCCTGAATTAAGCCTGAATACCTTCCACATCTCTCCCACCGGCACTGCATAATCCTAAGGGGTTTAGCGCTCCCCCTTGATTATAATAATAATCAAGTCTGGCTATATAAAAATAACCAGTTTCCCTGAGTCCCTTCACTAAATATTACCCTGCTCACACTCCATAAAATATTTTCATCCTTAGTTTATAGTGAGTGGTGAATATATATAATGTAGGAAGTCTGAATAAATGAAGACTGTATAATTGAAAACTGCTGTAAAACAAAGTGCTGTAGAGCGGGACCTGCCTGTACGTAACTATTTGCCTATCAGAACTACCCTGTTGATGGTAATTTTGCAGATTTTATGCCAAGAAGGTGGTGTGGCACTTGTTGTAATGGCTTGAGCATTTTCCTATGAATATACATGCTTATGTTCAGTCAGTCAACAAATTAGTTTTGCTTACTGAAGGGCTGCAACTTCAGGGGTAGGCTCAAACTGGGTGAGCAGAAATTAGGAGTATGGTCAACACAAATGGAAATTACACTACAGTAGCACCTTTATATACACAGCAGCTATACCCTTGTCATGGTAAGTCCCAACCAGTGTGGCTTTAGGCACCGATGAAAACTGACCCCACCACATGCTGTATGACCCTTGTGGGTTTAGTGCTTAGTTATAATTACAAAGGAGTCTGTGCTCTGTGGGACAGGTATTTGTGGCGAGTAACAGGAAATTAGTGAAACTGATTAATTAATGATACGTAGATCGTCAGAAAATGTTGATGTTGCAGTACAACTCATTAATTGCTTTAGTGATGAATATGGGGAATACATTTTTGCTAATTTTACTGTAAAAAACCTCAAGATGCCTATAACAATCGGTGCCATATACCGGATACCCCACACAAACATCCCAAACTTCAGTGAGAATCTAAAGTCACTAATAATAAACAGACAAATGAACAAGCACCACCTTCTCTTAGCTGGAGACTTCAGTATCATCCTTGGCCTACCAGATGATCAGAGTAACTGATTTCATCAACAATATGAACATCACACTTCTCATACCAACAATAACTAAACCAACCAGGCTGACTGAGACAAGTGCAACCATAAAAGACCACGTATGGACCAATATACTAGCCCCCCCTAAATCAGGGATAATCACAGACAGCACTACTGACCACTACCCAACCTTCCTCTTAACAAACATTAGTAAGCCACCACTCGATAAACACAGTTTCATTTAACTCCATGATGAGGCCTTCAATAAGAAATTCACAGCAGACCTAGAGACTGTTGACTGGCCTACAGAATTCTCCAATCCCAATGGTATTGGCAATTAGACAGACATTTTTCTTAACAAATTACTTAGACTATACAACAAACATTGTCCTATAAAAACTAAACAGATCAAGAATAAACGGCTTGGTTGCCTATGGCTAACCAGCAGCATTCTGAAATCCATTGATAAGAAACACCATATGAAAAGCAATATAGACAGGGCTAATACACAAGATATTCTTAAACCAATATTCAAACAGTTTCACCAAATTAAAAGAAAGCCAAAAACTGTACTACTCCAGTAGATGTTCAATGACACAAGAGGAGATATAAAAAAGACCTGGAAAACACTTTCCAGATTCTGGGGACCCACAAACTGAAAAAACCAAGAATATGTCTTAACTAAACCTCATGAAACACCATTGAATCCCATGATACAGCTAACAAGATAAACGACTTCTTCTCAAACATAGGATCTAATCTCACAATAAAATCCCACGTACCAATGCCGTGCCGGGGACTACCTAGATGGGAATTTCCCAAATTCCTTCTATTTGTACCAACTAGCCTACGGAAGTCACCGTGATCATAAAGCCACTTAAAAATTAACTCGGGGAATCGTCTCACGTCCACCATTATTGTACAAGCGAGCGGCCCATGTCCTTTCGCATGCTATTACAATTACTTTTTAACAAGTCACTGAAACTAGCACTTTCCCAGACACTACTCAAGACAGCAAGGGTTACACCAATACATAAAGGTGGTGGCCCTACAGACGTAAACAACTATGTATAGGCCAATATATCAAACTTACCATTGCTACAAAATCTTTGAGAAACTCGTGCACATGAGACTATATTCATTTTAAACTCACAAAACATACTCAACCCCTGCCAATTTGGATTCAGGAAAATAAAAGCACTAATGATGCAATTATAAAAATGCTAGACCTGCTTTGCCACAGCATTGGAAATTAAGGAATATCAGCTAGGAATTTTTATTGACCTAGAATACATTTGACACAGTAACCACGGCATCCTACTCCACACAACTTGACCACTATGGTATAAGAGGCCATGCGCTGTGCTATTTTAATCCTTAACCTTTCTTAATTAGGGTATCAATATGTCACCATTAAAGACACAGCCTCATCAATATGCCACTTGATAAGGAGTTCCGCAGGGAAAGTGTCCTTGGACCCGCTCTTCTCATTTACATCATATGATCTTCCAAAACATATCCCAACACCTGAAACCCATTCTCTTTGGCTGACAACACAACTTATGTCATTCCCACCCTAAATCTTGCCACCCTCAACACCATGTTAAGGAGGAGCTGCTCAAAATATCGACTTGGATGACAGCCAATAAATTACCATAACATCTGGCAAAAACCTACTATATTATGTTTGGTAGCAGAGCAGGTGTTGCGCAACTAAACATTAAGATCGACAACACTCTAATTGCCAGACATAATGAGGGCAAATTCCTTGGCCTATACCTCAACAACCTAAATTTCAGCACCCATATCCAACACATAACAAAAAAAAGTATCCAAAACGGTGGGGATCCTCTCCAAGATACGATACTACGTGCCGCAAACTGCCCTTCTCACACTATACCATTCACTTATATATCCATACCTCACCTATGCTATCTGTGCTTGGGGTTCAACTGCAGCAACACACCTAAAGCCAATAATAACCCAACAAAAAGCCGCAGTAAGAATAATCACTAAATCCCATCCCTGGCAACACCCCCCCCACTCTTCACAGATCTAAACTTACTCCCTGTTCAGAACATCCACACTTACTACTGTGCAGTCTATATCTACAGGACCTTAAATTCCAATATTAACCTTGACTTAAAATGCTTTTTTGATAGTTGTGACAGGATCCACAGGCATAACACCAGACACAAACATCTCTATGACATTCCCCGTGTTCGACTAAACCTTTACAAAAATTCAATGTATTTCAAAGGACCTAAAATCTGGAACACCCTACCTGAAAACTCTAGAACTGCAGACACATTCATCACTTTCAAAACTACAGTTATAAAACATCTTATCTCCCTGATCCACCCCGACAA